CAAGTTTTGGGTTAGTCACACTGACACTGCCATGAACAAACTATGGAAAGTTATATTACAAGTTGGCTAGAAAGTCAAAAGGGTGCGTGTCGTAAGGGGGAATTCGGCAGCTTGACTATGCTATAGTTTGGAGCAGCAAAGTTTTACTATTTCAGAAGAACCAGGACATATCTCTTTTTGGGGATCAGCCAACAGTCAAGTTCAAGACTTTAACAACTGTTTTGAGTCTCCAGCATGGTCTTGTTCTGGCCATATTCAGGACAATATGATTTTCTCTGTTTTAAAAAAAAAGTTTCTGGAATGGTAAAATCCATTTTTTATCTGTCATCTCTGGCTACCTACAACCCAGCATCCCACAGGAAACTCCTCAGCCACTGTCCAACCTGATGCTGACAGAAATGGCTCCACATTCCAAATGCTCTGCATGACTTAGAAATGAGCTTATGGCCAGCCATTAACATGCTTTCTGGGAAAGCAAGAACACACCAGCTGGGATCACTAGAAGATGACAGAAGAGGCCCTATACACCACCAGAAGGCACAGGTGGAGAGCTGTCCCAACTCTCCCTGGAAAGGCAGCCTGCCTAGCCTGCATGTTCCACAGCAGCAGAACACTCTGCTGAGTGTGACATTTGGCTCTAGGTGTATCAGTGGCTGAAAGACTGACTTCACTTCAGTGGCAAAAGCTGAAAAATAATAATAATAAAAAAAACCCAGTAAATTATTTCAAATCAGCCTTGGATATACCAAGTTTGACCTACAACACAAACATCTTTACTTAAAATTTTTAAAAAGAAATCTTACACGCTAGATAAAAACCACTGGTGTAAGGGTTTTTTTTTTAGTATCACATTTTAAAGTGCTAAAGTAAAACATTTTACTTTTCCCAAATTGTCCATCCTTAGCTCTCTTCTTCAGTGACTCTTATCAAACAACTTAGTTCAGACTGAAATTAACTTTTCCATGACTAAGCTTAGTTTTTACTAATAGCCTTTGTTTCAGCCAAACTATGAGAAAGAAAACAATCACTCATTTATTCTACAGCTATTCCAACTATTGTTCTTTCCTGTCCACATCTGCAGCACCATGACACCTCAGGTTAACGTCTGTGCTCCCTCAGGACATCCACACAGTCCAGCATCCATCCTAGGGCTTGCCCAACTCCGTGAGCAGCTGTTGCAAGCAGCTTTTCTGACAACCACTTCTCAAAATAAAAAAAATCCCTCTAAACTATCATCACCACAAAAACCTTCTCAGGTTAGCCTGGGGAACACACTCATTTGTATTTGGAGGGGGAAAGAAGGAAAGGCAGGGGACAGAAGTGACTTTTGATTATCTTTATTTATTAAAGGGCACCCATAATTCTTCTGGGTGCTCCTGCAAGCAGCAGTGGATCCCTACCTTAGCCATCATATGCTTTCTCTGCAAGACAAAGAAAAAAAATTAGCAGCATGGAAAAACTCATAGCTAACTATCCTGACCAGCATTGGGAACCAAGCAAGGTGTACAGATTGATCCAAAACTCCAAGTATACCTGTTACATCCCTACTTAAAGTTGAAACAGTTCAAACAGAATTAAGTAAATGTATTATTACCAAGACCCAAAGGAGAACAGAACTGCCTGCTCTTCTCATAACATTCATCCAGCACCTTGGAGGCTGGACTAACAAAATACTTAAACATTGATAGCTGGCAGTGAACATCCGCTAGAGTGCCCTGCCTCGCTGTCTCAAACCAAAAGGCAGGAGCTTATCATGACCTCACACAAAGGAGACGGAGACAGAAAAAGTGTTTCACCTGTTCTAATACAAGTATTAATACAAAAGTTTGATGAAACAGGAAAATGGTGCCATACCTTCAGATGCAGAGACTTCAGACTCTAGCAGCAAGGTAATCAAGTATGAAAAATGCTTATAACTTTTTTTTTTAAATTTCAAAAGTTTAATAGAAATAAAATGGTTATAAAAATGGTAATACAATTAAACTAATAATAATTTGGACAATCTGAATTACGACAATATGAGACAATAGAAACAAAGAGTTATGGATTCCGGGTACCTTTTTCTGGGCAGCATAAGCCCGAAAAAGAACACCTGTTAACAAAGGATTAACCCTTAAAAATAGCCTGTTGCATATTCATACATCTCACACATGATGCATAAATTCCATTCAAATACAGGATTCTGTCTGGTCATTGTCAGCTTCTTCCTCATAATCCTAATGGTGTTGTCCGAGCAATGCAGGAAAAAGTTAGTTTCTCCTGATAATGGAGCAATAAATTCTCTTTCTCTGAAAGATTTAGGTGTCCTGTGACTGCTGTCTCACTGTGAGTCCTTCCTTCAAAAAAAAAGCATCCTACATAGTATAGTTTCTATTTTAACATTTTGTTATAACCTAAAACTATATTTACCACACTACTTAAGAGAATTAATACAGCATTACTTTCTAACACAACACCTAATATTCATTTTAATATTTGCAAAAAGCCAATCATAAAACACACATTTTTCACATCAAGATATCTGCCTTTCTAAAAATTTCTGCAGCAGTTCAAATGAAAGAGTACAAACTGGACATACCATGGTGCTATCAACTATTAGGATCTAAGTACAATAGGAACAGCTAGGCTCTCCACCTAATTCTTTAACTAGCTGATTTACTTTGGAAGTTGATCAGTGAGAGCATTCCAGATTTTTGTGTTCCTTTTTTACATGGAGAAATAAGAAAAGTAGCAGATGCAGATCAAAAAAATTACAAAGGAAAATATAAGCATCATAGTTGTGATTTCATAAAATTCCTTAATGTAAATTAGCTTGAGATTAAACAAGCATCATACAATACCCTGCCAAGGATCACATCCACAATCAAAATGTTTAAGGGTTCATTTTGAAATCCCCATCCAAAGAGGATTACTGGAATATAATTAAGAGAAAACCCTTTAGACTTTCACATAAAGTGCTGTTGTTGAAGGTGGTTATTTTTGTTGACTATACTGCATGCTTTTGACGTTGATGACGTTTTAGTTACTTAGTATTTGGCAATTTTTCATTGCAAAAGATTCCTCCTCTCATGACATTGCACAGGAAACCTCATCTCTTTTCCCTGCAAATGACCATACTGGTTTAGCATTTTGGCCAGAGTTTTTCCCAACAGAAGTAACAGAAAAGCCCAAACGTGGGAACTGATCACACACACAAGGGTCTTAACTCTTTCAAAGTCTCTCTTCCTTTTGAGCAGAGCTAAATAATTATGTAATCAGGACATATACCTCATGAACACTCAACATTATTTACTTACTACCAGTTGGTTCTAAAGCCTGAGGAAAGAATGATCTTCTCTACCATCAAATAAGATGTTTCACACCATTATTTAACAGCTCATGGAATCATAGAATAATGTAGCTTTAAAAGCACCCCCAGAAGTCACAGCTACCTTTTCTACAGCCAGTGAAAACAAGCAGCTCTGAAAACAAAAGGTTTGCAACAAATTAAACAGGAGAACCCTATGAAGATCTCTTGGGCAATATAGAAGGGAGTTACCCACTCACAGTAGTACACAATAAATTAAATCTAAGAAGTTTCTTTTGTGTGTACACTCTCAATTCATTCACTTTAAACAGCCCCATAATACTATCGTTTTGTTCTTGAAAAAAAAATCTTTAAATGCTGCAATTCCTCAAAGTGCAAAGCAACAGTGTCACGATTTTGAGTGCTGATTTTATTTCAAGTTAAAAAAAGTTTTAAGGTGTCCACTCCTGGAGCTCTATCTCTGTTCCTATGTACAAAGGATGACAAGGAGCTTGGTGGGGAAGCAAACTCCCCAAATCAAAACCAATTGAGTCCATCATTCCAGGGGAGAATGTATCCTCAGATGAACAAAAGCAGGCTACTCCTGTCATATGCACACAGTGTTAAAAACAGACAAAACTGCTTCTCATTCAGCCTTTGATCCCTCTTCTGAAAGTAACACTGATGTTCTCCATTGCTGTTCAGCATCTGCAAAGATTCCTCAACTGCCACCTGTATTCCACACTGCTAGGAACATGTCTGCTATATAGGATCAGAAGAAGATTGGAAAACACTGCTGAGATAACAGAGTCCAGCCCAAGCCCTAACACCACCTTGCCAACTGGACCGTGGCACTCAGTGCTACATCCACTCTTGCCTTAAAGACCTTGAGGAATAGTGATTCATCACCTCCCTGAGCAGTCCCATCCAATGTCTATTTCTGTGAAGAAACTCCTTCTAACGCCCATCCTGAACCTCCGCAGACACAACCTGAGACTGTATGTATGCTACAACATACATACAAAATGCTAGTGACAAGCTAAAGCACTAAAATGAAAACCAAGCTTGTACCAGACTGCAACATCCACCATCAGAAGGAGCTACAGTAACCACCTCTAAAATCTTCCCCATTGACATTTGCAAGGAAGAATATTTTTTACCCTTTAGAGACAAAAAATCAGTAAGTTTCAGGTCATCTGTTGCTGTCGTCATTTATAAGCTTATCTACCTGTAAACCAGAGTGTAAAAGACATGCCATATAATGGTCTGGATTGGGAGGGAGCCTGAAGATCACATAGTTCAAAGCCCTCTGACACGACCAGGAAGCTTCGTCCCGAGTGCAGGTGGCTCAGAGCCCCATCTCAGCAGATCTTCCATTTGATAAACCTCCAGCTGCTGGGTGAACGCAGCCAAACCATTCTCCCCACCCGACTTCAGCCCGACTTAAAGCACCTGCAAACGCTCAGGACGGCCGCTAGCGGTCACAGCTACCTTTTCTACAGGCAGTGAAAGCAGCAGGTCAGTGGTTAGCGTCTCCCAGCGGTATTTACAGGAGATTAAGCCCACCATCTTCTGCTGCGATGGACAGGGCTCCTCTCAGTCCCAGCCTCTGCCTCAATACTTTATTACGGGGGACGCAACGCCGCGGCCGAGGCGACTCCCCCACTACCGCCCGGACAGCCCCGGCCCCGTACACCTCGTCGCGCCGCCCTACCCGGGATGGCGAGGTTGGAGAGCGGCAGGGAGCGCAGTGCGGGCGGTAACGAGCCCATCCAGTCGGCGTTACCGTCGGCCGTAGCCCCCACGGCGCCGCCCCGCCGGCGCTCCCGCATGGCTGGCGGGCGGCGCGGCCGAGCCGATACAACGCCGGCAACCGCCGCCCTTATGTAATCGGGGTGACGTCAAGGGGCAAGGCGGCTCACCATTGGCCGCCACCCCGCGCCCGGCCCCCAGCCCCGCGCCTGGTTGGGTAGGCGGGCTGGGGTTGCGGCGTTTATGGAATCTCGGCGGCATGGGTGGGTTGCGGAGGAGTGCCGGGCCTTGCGCCCACCGCCCTGCTCCCGCAGGGACAGCTCGGGGCACACAGCACAGAATGGCGTCCTGATGGGTCTGGTATGCCTCCAGTATGCCACCCTGTGTGCAATCTACTCTAGTGCGCGGTTACTGCGCAGGAAGAACGTTCTTTCTCCTGTTCAGCTGGAACTTCCTGGGACTCAGTTTCTGCCCATGGCCTCTGGTCCTCTTGCTGGGCACCACCGAGCAGAGCCTGACTCCATTCTGTTGACTCCCTCCCTTAGATACTGATAGACATTGACGAGGTCCCCTCTCAGGGTGCTCCAGACCAAACAGGCCCAGTTCCCTCAGCCGTTCCACATCAGAGAAACACCAGTCCCCCAAAATTCATCCATTCCCTCTGCCATAGCACCTGAGAAGCTACCCCCGATACAGAGGGCCAGTAGCTTGGTTTTGGTTTGGTTTGGTTGATGCTGGCTGGTCAGTTAAGTGTCTTATCTGGAGAGATTTACACACTGTCTGGCAAGAGCCAACATGGCAGCAGAAGGGTTAAGGAGCAAGATAGCGCAATCCCCCCCCACCTGCTCTTCCTCAATTCCTTTTCCCTGACAGTCCACACTTGACTTTTCACTGCATGTAGTTACTGGGGAAAGAATTTTCTCCAAAATAATTTCTGGATTTGCTGTGATACACAAAATTGATCTTCTGAAATACACTTTTCCTCCCTTGCATTCTTATGTGACTTTGAAGGATAATGCTTTGTGAGCAAGTTTTCTCAACCACTCCTTAAAAATATGTACAATCATACTATTTCCCTACTCTTCCCATAGGATATAGAGATGACCAGATATACAACACTGAGACCTACTCCATCATGTTAGTAAAAAAAAAAAGAAAAACCCCACAAATATAATTCTGAAATATAATTTTTTCACTGTCAAATTACTAAAGGCTGAATACAAAACACCAAAGATATGTATTTTGGAAGTTCTCTGTTTTGTCTGTAAGGAAGTATTTTTTAATTAGCCAGGTATTTTTCATTTGGTATATTACAGTTTGCACATTATTCACAGAATACTTTAATTGATACACAGTGAAACTGCTGATTGAACTGTATATTTAAAGTATACATAAACTTAATATATTTGTAAATACGCATTAACTGTATATTTTCATAGAATACAACCAGAATTCTGTTTCCTTCCATGAGTCAGCATTTTTCTTCTCAAGGAAGCCAACAAAGACATTTTGCTTTTAGATCTTTGATACTGAAGAGGCTTAAACCAAGTGTAATTTTTATTATAAATTTTCACAAGGCACTCCTGACCCTCACACTCGAGGAAGAACATGGAGGGTAGCATCTCATGGCATGCATTTCATTGTCCTGCAGCCCTGCTCCCCCTTCCCATTAAGACCACACTTGCCCTGATGTAGGAGACAGCAGTGTGTATGACACAATGAACATTTTCTCTTCTGAAGAAATTTTTATCTTCAACTAAGAGAGTGGTTACATTATGTTGCGTTACATAGGAGCTCCAAACAGTCCCTACCCCTGCAAGTTTATCTCCTTTAAATATCTGTTCTGCTGCACATTATTCACTCTGTTCTGCTCCCACCTTTGCAGCTTGTGGCTGTCCAGGAAAAGAGCACTTGTGAACACCTTGCATGCAGCTGGCAACCACGGCTGTGCCAAGTGTAGCTTTCCAGGATGAGAAAGCCTTGCAGTTCAGGGGTAATGACTTCACAGAATTTGGTATGTTCCCAGGGATATCTCTGTACCTTTGGGCAGGGAAACTGTAAACACTGAAGTCTAGAACCAAAACTGTTAAGGCTGACTACTGTCACAGTACTGCTGGGTGCCCTTGCCAGGCCCCATCCTGCATTTCTTACAATTTCCCATCTCTCAAAGGCCATAAATATGGGGTGTGTTTGACAGGCAACAGAGTCTGAAGAGGAACAGGAGGGTGTGCTCTGACATGGGAGAAGGAATCTAATCACATCTGCCATGAGAGTAATCTTAGCAGTCCTCTGCCATCAGATCAGCTAGAAAAGAGGGGTCTACAGCTGAAGCAGGAAGAATCTCAAACCTTCTCTCTTCACAGATTCTCCAAAACCTCTGAGCATTTGCCTACACTCTTTCATGGTACTGGAGAATGTGACAGCATCGGGTACTTCTGTGCTGTCACAGCGCAGTGACTTTCTCCCTTGTGCACAGGTAGTTTCAGCACCCCTGGACTATGATGTGCAGGATAAGCACACCCTGGCTCTTGTGGTTAAGATGGTGTCTAGATCTCCAACCTGCAAAGGACATTTAGACTGCATGGGACATCACCAGCTTGCAACCAGAGTGGTAAGGGAAGGAGGACATGCATCCATTCAGTATTGTGGGGTAAGACTTCAGCTGTGAGCATCAGGTGTGATGCACAGACACTTGCCAGCAGTAACCACTAGCAAAACTTTCTTGTGGTCCAAAAAACCCTTCCTTTTCTAAGAAAGAAGAGTATTAAATTACCTGTTGCCTCCACAAAACCTCTTTCCATCTGCACAAAACTTCATAATTTTCTTCTGTAATCAGTACCAAACTTTGCAATCACGATCATTAATTGAGATAGCCAGAGGGAACAAATGGCATTAATAATACAATTTTATTTTCCAGGGACTAAACTCACAAATTATGTAGGGTCTTATCACTTGAGACCAATCAAATGCTCCACTTCAAGCAAGTGTTTAAGTGGCAAAACAAACGTGTTAAGCTGCAAAAATGAATGCCTAAGCAGACAAGGAAAACACCACATTATTGACATTTTTCATTCTGTATCAAGACTAATAGGTTATTGTATTTTTCCATGTTGCTGGAGCATTCCCATATGAATTACATTCAGCAGTGAAGATAGCCTAAAATTTTACTATCAATTTCCCCCCACAGATTATATAGTCACATTTGTGCCTTATGTGGATTTACTGAGAACTCAGCTATTCACTTTTCTCTGGATGTAGAGCACAAGCCAATGTCACAGGCAGCCCAGACAATCTAGCAGCTCAAATCCCTCCTGTTTCAAATGCATAGTAAAAAGATTGGCTGTGCTGATCAGGCTGATGCTATTTAAGGACCAAGAGGCATGTGGTTTTCACTGTTAGCTAATTCCAAACACACAAATGTGATTTATTTCAATTTTAATATGTCGGCTGCCATATACAGAATATAAATCCAGAACAATGAACTTTTAAAAGAGCTTTAAAGTAACTGAAAATAAGCTGATAATATCAGGTGCTACAGGGAGCTTAGCCTCTTTCTCCTTACCACATTGAATACCCTGCTGACACATCCCATTCTTAAACAGGCCACATTTACACTGTTAGAAAGCTTTCTGTTAATGTTTTAAAAATCATCCTTTTCAGCCCAAAGTCTACAGTGCCCTGTAAATTCCAAATCCTTACAATGCAATTTATCAGCAGGCAAGAGATTAGTAAGTTATTGGAGCAGCTTCTATGTCTTCCATGTATTTGAAAGGTTACTTTGCTGCTGATGAGAAGAAAACTGCAGGATTCATTTGGAGAGAGAGAAGCTAGTTGCTAAATATTTCATGTAAGTATACTCAGACTCTTCCAAGCTGTTCATTACCATTTTTACCCTGACTGCAGTGGAATCATTTAACATCTCAAACCATCAGACACACTCAATCACAAAGCTCTGCAGACATCACTGCATTGAAAATGCCACTTCTTTCAAGTGCACCACAAGCAGTGGTGTTCATTTTCCATTTTACATCAAGTCAGAAAACCACTGTTACTATCACAGTTTTTGCACCTCCTAAGCCCACTGCAAATACTTAGATTTCTATAATCCAAAATATACCCTGTGTGATATTGATTTCCCCTCTCTTTTCTGCCCACCACTCATAGCCTCAGTGTCAGTTCTATCAATGTATTGCCTGCTTCTTTATCTCCCTTTGTTTGCTGTGAGCCAAGCCCTGGCATCTGCGAGCCATATGTTTGACAATAGCGAGCTATTCAATTCTTCATTTACACCACACGAGGGTGTTTCAGGCTATGCAGCATGCCAGAATCAATCTGGAAGTCATCCCGTTCGGAAAGGAACCAAAGGGCAAACACATACATTATTTTTCCACTGGGCAAACTGGTACAGGAGACTTTGAAAGGAAAAAGATAAAGCATCATAAACTACAAACCAGATGGAACAGTGTTATAAATGATCAATCGAAAGCCAAATTATCAAAAATGCAAAAATATTTATTTATCTTTTTCTGCAACCTAAATACCGACAAAGTGGTTATACACAGCACGTATCCCACCATTTCAGTATATTCTTTCCCTTCTCGACTGATGCAGATTGTCCCAATCACTCGTTGATCTAACACCCATCCCTCAGGTCTCTGTGCCAATTTTGAGACTCTTGGATTGTCCCATTTCAAAAAGCTGTTCCGGAGCCAAACCCTCACCCTTCCAAGGCCAGTTCTCTGTCGATTTCAGCCCCCCGCAAATCCGACAGTTTGACAATCCCAGTTCTGTGGCAATTTCCTGAACTAAATCAATGAATAAGTTTCGGTCTGGGGAAGGTAGTTCCTCATCAGCATATTGTCTCTGAATACTGCTTGCCCAAAGTTTTCAATCTTTCCTGTTCCACCCTTTTCTTTCTCAGTTCTGACTCCCTCCTTTTCAGCTCCTGAGTAATCTCGTTAATTTTCCCCTCAGGATCTATTCCATCTTTGTTCCTTGTAAAACAGACAGCCCTGTCATATTGCAGGCAAACTCTATCATCATTTGCCTGTGCTAAGTCCAATATGATCAGCTCTCTGTTCAGGGTGAATTTGCTATCAAATTTTATATTTCTTCCCACCTAGTACATTTTCCCGTTCATCATGCACATTCCCAGCTTCACATTGTCATAACACAATGGATTCACCTGGTGATACGCTACAAAAATTGATTGTTTTTCCCCAACCCACATTGTTCAGTTGCTGCAAACAGGGATTGACATTGGTTCTACATTTCTTTTCGGCACTCGGTATTGGTGCTTGCCTGACTGCCTGTTCTCCTTCCCAGCCTTCAGATCTAAACACAAGATCTCTTTGCCCGATCTGCGCAATTTGACCCGAGTGCCATTTATCAAACAGTACCTGCCAGACCCCCAGATTTCTAGATGGGCTGATGAGACCCCTGACCCAGGAGTAGACCAAGGTGTGGAAAATCCTAAGTGGTGTGGGAAATTGGAGGATATGAGCCAAATACTGAAGGAATTCTCTGATCCTATAGTCTGGGACTTTCCCCATGAAAAAATTCAGAACCCAGCAGAGGTGGAGAAATACCTGAAAGAGGAGTACTAGGATGACCCTAAGGAGAGGAAGATCATTGCAGTGAGCTGAGCCTTTGCATATGCTTATCGCACACTGCTAGATACTGTCAGGCAGCAGACAGAGGCAGGGGGGCAGGGAGATAAATCAGCAGCTATCCCAGTCACTCAGGCTGCAGCCAACACCCCAGGCTCGAAGCCAGCGGCCAAATTAGCTAGTGAGCCTAAGCCAGCAGCTAAACCAGACAATAAGCCTCAACCAATGGCTGTTGCTACTAGCACTAGAAGAGGGAAATGCACGGACAAGACTAATTGACCAGTGGGTGAGGATGATGATGATGGTGATGATGATGATGCAGGAGAAGGACCCTCAACACCTCCTGACATAAAATCAGGAGTCAAAGCAGCAGGTGCAAGATCAGAAGCCAATACTGAGTCCTTTGCCCTGAAGGACCTTCGTGGCCTAAGGAAGGATTACACCCGATGACCTGATGAATCCATAATTAGTTGGTTAGTTCGTCCTTGGGATGCTGCAGGCGAGGCTACAATTCTGGATGGCACTGAAGCGAGGCATGTGGAATCCCTGTCACATGATCCTGTCATCGACCAAGGAATAATGAGGGGGGCTAATCCACACAGCCTCCTGGCATGGGTCTTGGAAAGTGTTGCACAAAGATCCCTGTGTGCAGATGATCTTTATATGCAGCAAACACAGTGGAAGACCATAGAACAAGGGATCCAATGCCTGAGAGAAATGGCAGTGGCAGAGATTGTCTTCTCAGATGATGTAACAACTAGGAACCCAGACTTGGTACCATGCACATCTGTGATGTGGTGAAAACTTGTGTGACTTGGGCCACATGAATATGCTTCTGCCTTAGCCATAATGAAGAGGGATGAGAGGGATGAGACTGTGCCTGATATGGCAAAGAAGCTCTGAGCATATGCGGATGCTGTGCATGGCCCAACACATGCCAGAATCGCAGCAGTGGAAACACGTCTGCAGAAATTAGAGGATAAGATAGAGAAGAATCACAAGAAGCTCAGAGAGGAGATTAAAGAAGACCTTCTCCAAATCTCAGCAGTACAGATCAGAGGTTCTGATCTGTGGCTTGGTATGCTGAGATCCCCTTGTCCCTTTGCTCGATTGGGACCATCTGAGTGCACTTACTAGCTCATCCATGGAGCTCTGATTTCCGTCATGGATCGGGGTCTCAATGTGCAGACTCTGTGTCCCGCATATGGCTAGGCTCAGGCCAATCAGGATTCCCACCAGGCATACTTCTCTGCCTTTGCCTCCGCCACCTGGGATGCCACCAGCAGAGAGGAAGACCATCTTCATGGCGGCAGGAGTATTCTTCAGGGAATACATTCTCAGACCTTGCTGCATACCTCCTCTTAAACATGCCCCACCTTGACATCTTGACAGCATCTGAGCTGCACAGTACTTTGCTTGACTTCCGACACTCCACATCCAGTATTTCTGCCTTAGATTTGAGTTTTCTATGCACCCTGTTCTGGAAAATGTGGAACCACTCTTTTGAATCTAATTCAATAATTCCTAAAATTGTGGCTAGGGCTAGAATGCAGTCAGCTCAAGCTCCTCTTCCAGACACTGGGTGCACAATCCCTTTGGCCTCTGCCCCCTTCTGCAATGTACAACAAAAATCCCTTGACAATATTCACACTTGAAGTGTACAAACAGATAGCATACAGAATCTGACAGTATACAACCTATCCATCAGTCATTTATGAGGACTTGGGGATGCTTGATCTTCAGGTCGCCTGGAGAAGAGGTGATCCTCCACTCAGGAGCCTCCTCCTGATGCTCGACCTTCTTCACTCTAGATGCGTGTGTCCAACCTTTTTCTGTTGTCCATATGGCCGTGTCTGTTGTCAGAAGAACAAGAAAGAGGCCTTCCCAGTGAGGAGAGAGGGGTACGTCTTTCCATACTTTCACAAGTACTCTGTCACCCGATTGAATTTTGTGGATAGCAAATCCCAGAGGGGTGCTCTGAGACACTATCCAGTTTTCTCAATTCCTGTAAGTTTCTGTTTATCGCTACTAAATGTGGTTGAATTTGGCTGTCCTTTAATCTGGGGTGTCCCACCTTCATCCTGTGCTTATATAGCATTCCATATAGTGTTTCGAAAGGTGAGAGCCCTGTCTCTGAATGAGACATTGTCCTGATATTAAGCAAGGCAAGAGGGAGGCATTTCAGCCAGGACATCTGAGTTTCTAAAATTAATTTAGACAACTGCACCTTCAAAGTCTGATTCATCCTTTCAACTTGTCCTGAGCTCTGGGGATGCCATGGGGTGTGGTATTCCCATCGAATGCCCAGTGCCTCTGCCATCTATTTAATAATCTTTGAAGTAAAATGAACCCCTTGATCTGAGTCTATGTCATTCACCACCCCATATCGGGGCACAATTTCTTTCAGTAATTTCCTGGACACTGTCTGAACCGTTGCCCTTGGACTGGGGTAAATTGACCCAATGGGTCAATTTGTCCACTATTACAAGCACAAATTTGAACCTTCCCACCTTGGTTAATTCAGTAAAATCAACTTGAATTCTCTCAAAAGGTCGGTAGGCAAAGGGGCGACTCCTCAGGATTGCCTGTCTTGCCTTAGTTCTGTTAATTTTCTGGCAGATCAGGCATCCCTGTACCTCTTGTTTAGCCAATTCATAAATTCCTCTGCACCTGAAAAATTTCAAAAACTGTTCAGCCAGGGCCTGAGCCCCCAATGTGTTCGCTGGTGCAGTCTCCTCAAAATTCTCCTGGTAAAACCTTTAGCGACTAGTTGTCTGCCATCTGGTAGTTTCCACTTACCTTCCTCCACTTTTCCCCCAGTCTTCTCATAACTTTCAGTCTCCTTTGGGGAGGGTTGAGGAGGGTCCTCGGGGACCTCAATCCCTTTGATCTCTGGGGTACTTACCGTCATCAGTGCCGCGGTTTTTGCCTCCTGGTCTGCCAAGTTGTTTCCCTGGGTCCAGAACTGCATCCCTGACTGATGTCCCTTCCCATGGACAACCAGAATTTCCTCTGGCTCCCTTATCCAGAATTTGCCGGATCAATTCCCTGTGCATCAGTCCCCATCCCCATGTGTTGATCAGCCCCCTTTCTTCCCAAATTTTCCCAAAGGTGTGAACTACCCCAAAGGCATACCTAGAGTCTGTAAGAATTGTTCCCTTCTTTCCCTTTAGTCCTTTCAAGGCTCTCAGAACTGCATACAATTCGCAAGCCTGTGCTGACCAACCTGTGTTCAGGAGGCCTGCTTCTATCACTTTCCCTGTTTGCCCATCCATGACTGCATATCCTGATTTCCTTATCCCTTCGATCACTCTGCTTGAGACATCTACAAACCATTTTCCCCCTTTGTCTAGTTTCTCTTCTTCCAAATCTGCTCTTATCTTTGTCTTCAATTCAACTGATTCCACACAATCGTGGATGAGTTTGTCCAAAGCTTCCCCAAACAAGAACTGAGCCGGCTTTTGTGCGGTTGTTGTCCACAATTCCAAGTCCTGTGAGTGAATCAAAATGGCTTCATACTTCAGTAATTTAGCATCCGTGAGCCATTTGTCTGCCCTTTGTTGTAGTATGTCCCACACATTGTGTGGTGCAAATACTACCAAAAGGTGCTCCAAAAGTTACTTGGCTTCCTCCACCAACAACGCTACAGCTACGATTGCTTGCAAGCACGTGGGCCAGCCCCTGCTTACAGGGTCCAAAAGCCTCGACAATTAACCTACCGTTTTCCTGACCCCTGCCCAGTCCTGTGTCAGCACACCATGTGCTGTGTGATTGCTCACATCCACAAACAACTGGAATGGCCGTCTCACATTGGGGAGGCTCAGCACTGGTTCTGCTGTGAGCGCTTCCCTGACTCCCCTAAATTCTTCCTTATCCTTTTCTGTCCATTTGATTCTGTCCGTGGTGAGTTTTTCATACAAAAACTTCACCTTCTCACTGTATCCTTTGATCCACTGCCAGCAATATCCCAACAACCCCAGCAATTGCCTTACTTCTCTTTTTGTCTGTGGGGGTGGTAGGGCAATAATCCCTGCCACCCTTTCAGTATCCAACTTCTTTTTCCCTTTGGTTAACCAGTGTCCCAAATATCTGACCTCAGGCTCTGTGAACTGCAACTTTGACTTAGACACCTTCAATCCTTTTTCCCCTAAAAAAGTTCAAAAGTTCAGTGGTACTTGTCCTCACATCTTCCTCCCTCAGACATGCAATCAACAAAATCATCTATGTATTGTAGCAATTTTATTCCCTCCGTTGGTACAAAATGACTCAGCACTTGTTTGAGTGTTGCCCAAAAAGTTTTGGAGAATCAACAAAGCCCTGAGGCAACGATGTCAATCTGAGCTGCTGCTTTCTGTTTGTCTCTGGGTCTTCCCACTGAAACGCAAAGTAATCTCTGCTGTCCTTCACTAAAGGACAGGTCCAGAAAGCATCTTTCAAATTGATCACACTGTACCACGTGTCCTCAGGAGAGATGGTATTCAACAGGGTGTAAGGATTCGAGACAGTGGGGAGCAGTGTCTTAGTCCTTTGATTCACAGCCCTTAGATCCTGCACTAGCCTGTAGCTACCATCTGTCTTTTGCACTGCCAAAATCGGGGTGTTGTGCCAGGACATGCATGGCTCCAGCGTTCCTTTCTTTATCAGTTCATCAGTCACTGGTTTCAGTCCCGTCCTCCCTTCCATGGGGATGGGGTACTGTTTGACCTGAATGGGGTCTTCTGGTCTTTCAATTTCAATGTGGATTGGCTCTGTGTCCAATCTCCTGGCCTCCCCCTGGACATACCAAACCCTTGGAGTTATTTTCTCCTCATCCTGGGTGGTGAGTTTATACAATCCCACCATGAGCTGGGAATCTTGCACTGCTAAACCAATTTCCAATGCCACCATCAAATCCTGTCCCAGCAAATTAAAGTCTGCATCTTTTATCAATAACAAATTTCCTATACATTTTTAGTTTTTGTCTCTATTTTGACATTCTTTATGATCGGAACCTTAAAAGGTTCCCCTTTTTCTCCAATTACCATCATTGCATCATCGCTCAGAGAGCAACCTCTCTGTTGCACCGTGGTCCGCTCAGCTCCAGAGTCCACTAAAACCCAAATTTCCTGCCTGTGGGGTCCCACTCTCAATTTTATCAAGGGCTCCCTCGGTGTTCCAGTACCCAAACTGATAAGCCCCTGACACCCCTAATCTACCTGAAACATAGTGTGATCCTTGACCTTGTTGGGACAATTCCTCCGGATGTGCCCCTTTTGCTTGCAGTTGTAGCATTCAAAGTCCTTTTTCCGGTTGTTCGAACCCTTTCTTTGGGAAGGGATTTGTTTCTTTGCTGGTGCCGTTTTCGCCGAGTCTCTGGCCTGTTCCTGTTTCTGTGCTTCCCTCACTGCAGCCACTAGCACTTTTGCTTGAATCTTTTGCTTTTCTTCGTCTCTTCTCATGTAGATTTTCTGGGCTTCTCAGAGCAATTCCTGCAGTTTCCTGTCCTGCCATCCAACTCTTTTCCAATTTCTTCCTTATATCTTCCCATGATTTTGCCACAAATTGGATCTTCAGCAAGACTGCCCCAATTGGAGATTCAGGGTCCGTCCTGAAATACCTTCTCAGGCTCTTTCGGAGCCTTTCCAGCCATTCCGGGGGCGTTTTGTCTTCCCTCATATTTCCTGAGTACTTTGCTCATAATTTGTCCCTTTGGTACTGCCTCCCTGATACCTTGTATTATCATATTTCTCAAGTTGATAATTTTCTGCCTCCCTTCCTCTGTCTGGGTATTCCAAAATGGCTTTTGGTCCTGCAACTTCTGATCTCCTCACTCCCCCTGGGGATTCCTGTGCTCCCAATCCTTGATCACAGCTTGTCTGATCATTTCCCTCTCCTCGTTGTTGAACAGCGACCTCAGGATCGCATTGAGATCCTCTTACGTGTAGGTGCTGGTTCCTAGAAATTCATCTAGCCTTTCTGCCACCCCCAAAGGATCATCCATCAGCTTCCCCGTCTCTTTCTTGAAAGCCCTCACATCCCCGGTGTTGATTGGCGCATGTACAAAGCCGATAACTCCTGGAGCTGGCGGTACTTCCCGGAAAGGGAAGACACCGGGCTTTTCCTCCTTGCCATCACTATCTCCAGTGGTTGCCCTGCCCTCCTCGTTCTCCTCCTCGTTCAATGGGCAGGAGGAGAGTTTGCTTTCTTTGGGGGAAATACCTGTTTCTCCTCAGTCTTGGGAAGGGTTGGTGGCTGTGGCTGCTTGCATTGGAGCGAAGGCGCCATTGCCTGCCTATATGGGAGAGAAGGTGCCGCGGCCAGCTCCGGTGGGAGCAGTGGAGCCGAAGCCTGTCCCTGCGGGATCGACGCCTTGGGAGGCAATGCGGGCATCTGAGGTACCTGTGCTGGCGCGGGCTGGGGCAGAGGGACAAGGTATGGTGGTGGAAGGTTTTCCAGCAGTTCCCACACCTTGCCCCAGTTTGCTGAGTGTCTGAGGGCTCTGATCGGGTATAACCCTGAACAAGCGTATTTCCACATCTCAGAGTACTCAATTTCCTCAAAACCCTGCAGGCAGTGAACAACCACATGGTTGCACAGGGATTCGCACGTCCATATCTCGAAAGTGCCGAACACCGGCCAAACCACATATTTCGCAATCTCCTTTCCCCTCCACTTTTCCATACAAAAATGTATAATCTTTTCCTTGGACTTTCCCACCCTCCTGGGGCTGTTGTCCTAGTCTTCTAGCATCCATCCCAACAGACTTCCCCTCAGGATTTCAGGCAGAACCTTCTCAGGATCTTGGGGAGGTTTTTCCTGGGGCTTTTTCTGGCAATTACTCTTTCTCAATCCCATTTTCCCAAAAACCCTGTTCATTGATTTTCTCATCTTGTGTCCTTTGGCTGGGATTCTTGACACGAGTCTCACTTTTATTCTTTCAGTTCTCTCTGCATCCTACTGGTGAAAGTGATCTCCCAGCTGCAGTTAAACCATGACAAACATTTAAGACTCTCTTTAAAAATCTTTACTATAATCACACAGCAAGCTTTGAACGTTTTCCACTTAGAGAAAAGTTTTTATCTAATACTCCCATCGCCACCTTCAACCATCTGGTAACTAGATCTGACACAATAATTTCAGATTTGACAGAACCCAAGTCCAAGCCAATGATTCCAGCTTTCATAGTGGGGCAGCTGCTGCTAAAAATAATCACTGAATTGTAGAATGGTTTGGGTTTAAAGAAATCCTGAAGTTATCATCAAGTTCCAACCCCTCTGCCATAGGCATGGACATCTTCCACTAGACAAGGTTGCTCAATGCCCCATCCAGCCTGGCCTTGAACACTTCCAGGGATAGGACAGCTGAAGTTCTGAAGTTACTGCAGTTGAGTAGGTTTTTTGTTTTTGTTTGTTTGTGTTTGGTTTGTTTGTTTGGAGTTTTTTTCTTGTTGTGGGTTTGTTTTGGGTTTTTTTTGTTTATTTTTTTTCTTTAAGGTAGGGATCAATTTTGAAGTAAATTACAATTCTTTAGTGTGAAAAATGCCAATCACTTGTTTTTAAAATCTTAAAAGTTTAACAGTAATAAAATGGTTATAAAAATAGTAATATAATTAGAGTAATAAAAATTTGAACAATTGAGATTAGGACAATACAAGACCATGAAAACAAAGAGTTATGGACAGTACTCTTTGCCCGGGTACCTCTTTCTGGGCAAAATAAGCCCAAAAAAGGACACACAAAAAAGAACACACGTTAACAGAGGATTAAACCTTAAAAGCAATAGCCTGTTGCATATTCATACATCTCATACATGATGCATAAATTCCATTCAAACAAAGCATTCTGTCTGGTCAATGTTAACTTCTTCATCTTAATCCTAACAGCGTCTTTATGGCTGAGCAAGGCAGGAAGAAGTTCGTTTCTTCTGATAATGGAGCAACAAATTCTCTTTCTCTGAAAGATTTATGTGTCCTGTGGCAGCTGTCTGGTGCGAGTACCTCATTCCTTTCTTTAAAAAAATATTCCACATACATAGTTTCTCTTTTAACTACAAAAGTTAGATTTTAACCACAAAACTACATTTATCATACTATTAAAATGTTAATGCAGCACTACTAATCAATACAACGTAACACATAGTAAATATCTGTGTAGAGCCATATAATAAGCACTTTTCACATCGAGTGAATGATATGTTCCATTCTTATCGTGGTGAGGAGCAGATAGAGGCAAACAGAAACATAAACCGTCCTACACCAAATTTACCTGCAGAAAACCAGGAAGATAGGGCTGGCACCGGGGGAATTTCCTCCCTCGGGTCCCAATCTGTTGGCTGCCCCTTTCCCTGTTCCCTCTCTAAAGCCGCCAGAGGAGGGCAGGCACACTCGTTGTCCCCGTCCCTCCGCCCAAGGGTGGGGAGGGACACCGCCGCATTGCCGCGCTGCTGCCGGTGGGGTGGGAATGGGGAGGGACGAGAGGGGAGAGCGGGGAAGGGACGGGCCAAGACGAAAGGGGAGGATGGGCAGGGACGAGGAAAGGATGGGGCAGGACGAAAGGGGAGGATGGGGCAGGAACGGGGAGGGGACGGGGCAGGACGAAAGGGGAGGATGGGGCAATAACAGGGAGGCGACCGGGCAGGCCGAGAGGCGGGAGCGGCCCCACTCGCCGCCGGGCGCGGTGCCGCGACGCCACCTACTGGTGAGTGACGGGAGCGCGGGCGTCTTGCCCGCCCGGGTGTCCTGGCGCAGGGATTTGAAGAAAGCCCTCGGGAGAGGCCGGGAGCGCCCCAGCCAGGGCAGCTCTCCCGGGCATCCTGCGGAGCACCGCTTGCAGAGACTGCTGCAGCAGCCTTCGGGAGTGTGCGGTCGGGGAGCGGCGCTCACTGCAGGAAGCGGTGACACCCATGAGTGCTGCTCACGGTCAGAAGGAACATCTCCAGCCAGAAGCACCCGTGGGGATCAGAATACCCGAGACAATAAAATAGCCCCCTTCAGTCTATATGCTGCTGTGAATAGTGGTCTCATGATAAGGAAGAACGTCCTGGCTCTCCACACCCCTTGGAATATTACTATCCATCTGTTTGGGTTTTTGATGTTGTTGTTTGTTTGTTTGTGTTTTTTTTCCAATTTGCTTTCAAGGCCAACAACCTGCCTTCTTTTGCAGTGATTGGTAACATGACAAAAGTTAAACTACTGTCCTTCTACAACACAGACAAGAAATACTCAAATTAACATTGACATTTCCATGCATAGCAGGTCAGTATGGTTTTGTAGGAAAAAAAGTGTTTTCTGTTTAGCACAGATGATGGATTTAGAACTGTTTGTACTACAACATAAATAATACAACAAAATATTCTAAAAAAGGTCAGTTAGATCATTTTTTCCAGTAAGCCATTCATTTAATCTAGAGTCCCAGGAAATACAGTGCTCTGAACCCTGACACTCATTGACCAGTGTTTAGCAGTAAATAAAGCAAATCCCATTCCTAAATCAAAATATCAATTTTAAGCCTGACATAATTGAAATTTAACTGATTTGCATTAATTACAGAAATACCATTGCGGTAACAATACATTTCTAAACAAGCTCAGAGGGATGGTTTCTTGGCTGCCTGAAGGTACCGCAGTTGCTGCCAAAAGCAGAGCTCCTCCTGTAGCTCTGGTACCTTGCACTGGTGATCACACAGCTGCTGACCTGGCTGAGAGCTGTGCAGAGGGCCAAGCCAAGCTCACCCACTGCACCATCATTTATTCATTAGTGTCAATATGAGGAAATCTGTAGCTTGGGCAGGACAGGGGGAAGACTGGATCATCTCTTTCACAGGCTTAAGCCTGTGGCTTAAGTTTACGCTTAAGTTCACCTGGGAAACTGCCCCTGAGGTCTTGGAAAATGTGAAGATAGTATGTGATGAAAGCTCATTAAGACCAAAGAAAAATAAAAGTAGTACATTTCTTTCCTTCACATATACTGTAAATATAATTTCTGAAAAGCAGACTTAAAAGTAAGTATTATTTCAAAGGCATAGTGCTTCCAAAAGGACTAGAATTTTCCATTAACTCTAGGCTTGCTTCAGTTCTTAAGACTCTGGACCAAAATTGACTTTCTTGTGACTTCACCAATGGCAGCTGGGACTTCTCTACATACACTTGCACCGGGGCTGGTGATCTTTCATCTCACCAACCACCCTCCATGATCCAGTGCTGCAATCCTGTGCCAAGAGATGCAGGGTATTTTCTGTCTGTGTATGGTGCTGATTCTTTCTTTTGGTTTCACAGTGATAGAAAATTACATGTTGGGTTATATTAGTCCACAATAAAAAATAAATAATTGCAATAACAGCTCGTGTAGGTCTCAAAATCTTGTGTTCAGCCACTGTTTGCTGAGTACCTGTGATGTTCATACAGCAGAGTTGTCATCTCTATACATTGAATAGATGGACAAGCTTCAACACTCTTCAGTCAGGCTGGCAGACTCATGTGTTAATCTGCTACCATGGACAAGATAGCAAATTCCTAGTTCATCACCCAATTCAAATTAAGCAAGTGTAATCTCACAGCGACACTTACTACGAATGCAGTGCATACATAGAGATACACAGGATGAAAGGAGTCTCCCAAGAAATGCTCAGCTTCCAAAATTAATGTCATGTAGGAGCTCTGATTTTTAATATGTGTCATTACCACCAAGCTCCCGTAACCACTGTTCCAAAGGCAGAGCCTTTTAACTGTGCTAGTCTTCTGTGTGCTACACAAGGGGTGCAGGTGGTGTTACAGGCTTTCTAGTTCGTGGCAGGATGGGGGAGTCCCATCAGACTCTACCATGGAGGTGTGCTTTATTGGAGGTGGCAGTGGCTTAAAAGATGGACGTCTGTTCATACTGAAATAGAAGAGAGAAAATGCACTATCACATGAAAGTAGCATAAAAGATGTAAAATGTTCACAGGAGGAGGTGGATTGGCACTAAGTCATTATAAGAACACCTGACATTAGCTCTTACATACTGTGACTTCCCTGAGTCTGTTTTATAATCCCAGGACACCTTCTGCTATTCATTTGGCTTTCTTTGCTCCCACCTCACAGTTTTATTTCATTCATGTTTTAAAAGAACCGAACGTGGTCCTGATGAACTATTCAAAATACTTGCATGGGCCTTTTGCTCGCACTGCTCTCTGAAAGTATATTTAAAGACTCGTAACTTTTTTTGATCAATTTATAAATAAAGGTCCCACCTCAAATTAATTTTAAAAATCTTGGTTTTATCTTTGATATACAGGATTTACAGTTGAGTTTTAAGAGGATTTTCTAGAATAATAGGTGATTAATTATAACTATGATTTTTTGAGTATTTTAATAATGTTGGTAAGATTTAAAATAATTGTCTCTTAGATATTGCTTTCACCAGTAGATCTTAGAGTGTTTTAGTAGGGAATCAAACTTTGGTAATAATTACACACTCAATGCTTTTTTGACTGGGATTGAGTTTTGGGTAGCCTACTTTCACATATATCATTCAAAACTCAAATAGACCTGCCCTAGAAGTACAATTTCATTAAAACATGTCCTCAAGTAACCATAGAAAATGAGAGAGCAAAAGCAGCTGGCAGGGAGGCTAATAGAAATGGGGGGCTCTGGGGACAAAAATTGACTTTTATTTTTCCCTTACACCCTGAAGCTGCACTGCAGCTCTTTTCTAAAGTTTATTTTAAAGAAAACCCACAGAACAGATGAAAGGACTGAGAACACTCTACATACTGCTGTATGAGAAAAATGGCATTAATGATCCATGTACTTAAAGGCCTTGTGTGCTATGAGTCATCTCAAATGAAAAGGTATAAATCCAAACAGCTGGTTTAGAGTTGGTGCTGTCCTCTGTGTCACCCTTCCCACCCCTATGGCTCCATTCACTGGTACTCACATCTCTTTCTGGTACTGACACCATTTCCTGATGCCTAAAGCTACCAGAGTGCTGCAGAGGAGGAGCAGGACAGCTACCGCTGTTGGCCAGGGGAAGCCACTGGCTTTGGCGTTCCTCCTGTCACCTGTAAGGGACACATGAAGCTCATCTGAAGGTCCTCAGAGAGGAGGGAAATCAGGGCTTGGTGCCTGGGACTTGCTGCTCCCTGCTCTGCATAGCGCTGCTGTCAGTGCAGCCACTCATCACCAGGCTGAGGTTCCCAAACTCTGAGCGCTGCAGCTCTGATTTATGGACTTAGCCCACTGTTGTTCCGACTGGGTGTGTGAGCTGATTTCAGACACCCACTGGCTCACTTGTCAAGATTATTTAGGCACAGCCCAGAGAGCATTTCATCCAAAACCCATTGGCTTTCTCTGTTCCCCTGTGAGCTGCTCTGCAAGAAGCTGCATGTCACAGTGCAGACAGGCACATCTGCCAACCCTTGCCCTCCTTCCCAATGGTTTATTTTTCACACCACTGACACCAGACCCTGCCAAAACATCTGGCCAAGGGCTCAGCTGCCCTTTGAGGTGAGCTTTTGTCAGCAGCACAGCTTCCCAGTTCCATTCCAGCTGCCTCTCCCCACTGCAGTGCTGGGATTCCCCTCCCCTTCCCACTTCTGCACAGCCACCCTTGGGGGTGCTGACAGAGGTGCCCTCAGGTCCTGGGTATGGAGAAGAAGAAGAGAAGGAGCACAGTCCTCCTCCAGGTGCCAGAGGGTGCAGCAGTGACCTGGGTGCCAGAGAGATCCATGGGTGATACGCCTCAGTGTCAACTCCCGTTAAGCTAGCTAGCATCACCACCCTGTGCAAGGCTGGCCACACTGGTGTGTCACCCAGGCTGGGTCTTACCCACCATGGCAACCAGTGCTGTGGCCAGTCCACCAAGCTGCATGAGCCATGAGCTTTCCCTGGGGCACAAGAGTGTTACTGGCCAAATTTTGCTGCTGGAAGAAAGCATACACTGGAACTTTACTTGCAGATGGAGGGAGAAGGCTGGAATACCAAAAGCCTGTGCCAACCTGTGATATTAGGATACAGAAGTTGTGACTCCTCTTTTCATCTCTTTTCCCTTATTTTGGAATCTCCTGGTCAAATGGATGTGATGCTCCAGGTTTCGTGCTTCTGCAGTGGCATGCTGAAAGAAGAGGATATGCAGGATAACATCTTACCAGTAGTGTTCAGCAGGCTGCTGGTAGGAAAGAAATCTTTTCCTCTGATAACTGAAATTGTCTGATCTGTGATGCTGTAGGACAGGTTACCTATAAAGATATGGGCACAGAACATTTTTAGTTACTTGTTTTTTTTTTTGTTTTTTTTTTTGTTTTTTTTAATGAAGGCTGTTTTGAACCCTCTGTTATTCACCCAGCTGAAAATGCCAAAGTCAGAAATTTCCAGGATCAGGGTGTAAAAATTCACTTCGCAAGATGCCTACATTTTTGGCCTATGACCTGGTGTTGGATAAAAAAAATGTGCTTTTATCAAAAGAAATATTATAAGAAGGAAAGGGGGAAGAGGAAGGGAAAGAGAGAGGAAGGGAAAGAGAGAGAGAAGGAAGGAAGGAAGGAAGGAAGGAAGGAAGGAAGGAAGGAAGGAAGGGAGGAAGTTAGTTAAGATGTTCCAGCAAGCCAGCATTGAGGCAGCTTTGAGCAGCAGAGCTGTGTGGGAGAATTATAAGCTTTACCTCTTTGATGGTAATGAGAAACCTAAAGAACCACAGATGATTTTTCTGTCTGACCCACAAAAATCATCTACCATCTGTTTATAGACAGTTTTTTCCCTTCCTACTGATGGTTAAGATCAGTGCCCCATAAGGGACACATTTCTGTTTTTTCTAGCCATCTCTACATTCACAGCTTCTGAAATAATAGTTAAATACTCATCTAGACAATGGCACAGCATTTCCAGAGCTCCCATGGCACTTCTGATATGGGGATCCAGTGGTGAAATTATTCAAATTTGTATAAAAAGAAATAATGACCTTCAATTGTCTTACAAAACTGTACACGATTACTTCATTAGGCTCTGCTGTGGCTGTTTTGGACTCTGACTTTTTCTGATGCACACAACAAATGAAACAACAGAGGAACCTGACAGTCTCTGATATAACTGCTGATTTATAAATCCAAGACAAAAACCTAGCTTTAAATTATGTAAATGACTAACCACACAGAACCAAGAAATTCTCTTTATTGTGAGATGCTTGCTGGCTTTGACTGAAATTGAGAGTTCAAGAGTGTGTGTGTGTGTGTGTGTGTGTGTGTGTATGTGTGCACTAAAAATATGTAGTTTTAGGGCACTCGAAAAACTGAGATTTTTGGATGTTAATTCAGTTCTTTTCTACTTGCTTATTAGGTGTTTGATTTTAAGTGAATAGGTATGATACATCTCACATTTGTAAAATGCTATGCATTTTACAAAGTTATATGCAAAAAAAAAAAAGGATATACACTTAGAAATCCGATAGGACTGTGCTGTATACATCACATTGATGAGCATTATTTATTCCTATTTACATAATGGCTTATGTTAGAGCATCCCAGACCACAATGATAATGGTAATCACTGTTGTAGGAGCCCAGGGAGGGCACAGGGATTCATGTGTATGCTTCAGCAGACTCACTGGTGCCTGTGTGCTCTGAAACTGCCCTCAATTACAGCTGCTGGACCGAGGACCCTTCAAGGCCATTATCTCTTAGCTGGTGTTCAGGCAGGCACAGGTGTAGGGAAGCAGTGGCAGGGATGTGGGGATGAGTGGATCAACATGCAGTATCCCCTGCAAATAATAGAGTAATTCAACATGCTTTTAGAAAAAATTGCAACCAGCAAGCTGTGCAAGAGCAGAATTGTGGAGCATTAGAAGCTGTCACAAGGTTGTGGTATAACTGCATGGTTGTGCATGTACTAAAAATGCACTCACAAAATGGAAAGCAGCTGCTACATTTGTGCCTCAGCCAAAAGACAACTCCCATGGAAATGCAAAAGCACATTGACAAGTCCTGCTTTTTCCAAAACCACAAATGCAAACCAAGATGTTAAAAAAGGAAGTCACTTTGGGCTTTATACTGCAGAGGTTTTCTGAAGGGAAAGACTAGTGAAAAAATGTTCACCCTATGGGTTTTTTATTCATTTATTGATCTTTAATGAGGCTGTCTTTCAATGTTCTATTAGCCAGCCTTTATTACTTCACATTATCTCATTATTTCACTGCTGCTCTGCAATTTTATTTAGCTTCTCTGGCAATTTATTTCATCTATAAACTACCTTCAGCACTCACTACATTTGCCTAGCAACTATCTCAATTGTAATATTATGAAAATAAATATGTCTAATGAAACCAGGATACTCAAATGTTTTTTCATTCCTCTTTTGCCACTGCAAATCCTCAACAGCTTGGAAACCCATGCCTTTATCTTCTAACTCAGTGGAACTCAACAGGAAAATTGCTTCTGTGAAGTATTGAAAATCTGGTACACGTTACTCCACATGACTTTGGCCTCTGCTCAGACACAAGTTTTCCATGCTTAGTAATAATTTTTGCATGGCAATATGGTGACTCTCAACTAGCAGCTGAAAATAAGCACCACAGAACTAATGCTCTGAGAGAAGGCATCACAAATTGAGCCCCTGAGGACCTTCTGCTGTGGTTTTTACAAGATGGTCCAGATTACAGTAGGTTTGCAACCCAACATTCACTAAGGTGGTGCCACATTGGCACTTTGGCTTCAGAACTCCTTTGCTGCAGTCCTGTGAAGCAAAGGAGATGTGTTGTCTACTCACGTGCTGTTGTCAAAGCCTCGCTGAATGCCGTGGCACTGGTGTAGCCTTTTGCCTCTGTGGTAGAAGTTAGCGCTCTTGCTGAAAAGCACAAAGCCTTGTAAAAATTGCTGTAGGGAACCATATCACTTGTTTTTCATTTCACCCCCTCTTTCTTCCCTGTTTTCTGACTAACGAGGTCAACCAGGTGTAGCCCGTTACTTGAGATGCTGGCTTCCCTCAGACAGGCGTTACACAAAGCTGTGTCAGGTTTGAAAGCTTATCACAAGTTAGAAACTCAAGAGGAGTTTTACTGAGATAGGTAAATAAACTTAGAAAAACCATTTGAAGCATTTTTATATTTCATCTTATTTTCATGCGAACCTCAGGAGCTTGAGTGTACTGGCTGGTTTTGACCTGAAACCAGTAGAGCAATGAACAAACATACATAAATCAGAATTTAGACAGGATGTCACCGGCTCCAGTGAAATAGAACTGTTTTCCCAACTAGCAAAAGGAAGTTTTGAAAAAGTTATAGTACAAGAGTCACACCTGTAATGTCTGATACCAAATACCAACTTATTTGACATTTTCCTTTAAGCATTTTTTAATTGCTAAGGTGTCTAGAGCTCAGCTAGGTATTTATCTGATATTCAAACACAGACAGATGGTAGCTAGCATGTAGACCTTCATTTTCCCAAGAGAACTATTTCACATTTACTAAAAAGAATCCATATTTCTTAACAACTGTCTCGTTTTGGAAAAATATCAAGCCATCTGAACAAACCTGCAAAGGTGAACTGCAGCTTGAACTGATCATTTAAAGCCTAAGCATCTCTGGCTCAGTGATGGAGCAGTTGTGGAAACTAAGCAAAATCAGGCTACATTTTAGCAGCCTTGGTTTTGCTCCCCCTCTTCCTCCTCTTGCCTATATATGTGTGTTCTTCTCTCATATGCATTTTCAGCTGTCTCTTAGATTTTCACTTGCAAATAACAGGAATGAGCCAAACCAGTAGACTAAAACAGAAGGTTTGAGCTTGGTGTCCTGTCTTGACTGCAGCCCAGAGGATTTGCTCAAGAAGCTGATCTCAAGCACACTGGTGTCACCAGTGTGAGGACCAGCAGTGAGTCAGACCTGAGAAGTGCTAACCCAGGGCTGTCGTACCGTAACTGGCACATGTTGGGACCACTGGTTAAAAGGCAATTGCTTCCCAGGCTACTTGCAGAAGAAAAATGGCTCATATCCATCTTACAGTGCAAGTTTGACCTTGCAGCACCTCAACCAGGGAAAATGTGTAATTCAGCAAGGAGAACCCTCTCTCTTCACATTGTATATTTATAGCCTTTGTTATGAATTATTTTTGTTGAGATGGAAGGGCTTCCAGTCCACTTGGACAAGCAGCTTTGGTGTTCTGCTGTCAGCCAGGCAAATGTCTCTCTTTTGGGGATGGGGAAGGCAGTTTGAGAAGCAGCAAATTTTCATTTCAGCTGCAATCTGTGTTCCTGCCTTGGCATATCTCAGTCAAGCCTCTGCAAGCCCCTGGGCTTTATGTTGAGTGATTCAGCTCCCAAAGAGCACTCTTTTGGGGCAGGCCAAGGCCTTGTGTTTAGTATCTTCCTCCAGTGTTTTATTTAGGTACGATATTTAACTAAAAACAGTAGGTATTCTTCATAAACACCCTAATAACACTAATTAACTTCTTTGTAAACACTAATAACACTCGATGTCTGTTCAGTTGCCAAAATTAATGAACGTATCCTAAAGAGAGCATTAAAAAAGATAAAATCAAGACAGTATTTTCTCATATATTTATTCCTGAACTGTGGTTACACTGACAGGGGTTAGTGCAACCACTGGTTAGTGGTTAGTGTACAAAGCACTAGGAAAAGAACTTCAACGGACATTAAATGTCTTGCTTCCAAAAAAGTAAGATAGTTATTGTGTCTTTCTTCTACATTGTTGAAGCAATAGAGAAAACAGTTTGATTCATTTGATTACCTTGTGTTGTGGAAGCAGGAGTCAAATTTGCTGGATTTGTGAAATCCAGAGAGGCCACAGATGTCGACTGGTGCTCTAAAGACAGTTAACACGGTATCACATTTAGTCAATAGATTCTTCAGAAAATAATGTTAATAAATTACAAAACAACCTAGATTGACGACCTTGCAGTAGCTATTGGGTAAATGCAGACTGAGCAGCAGAAATCCTGCTGTGGGAGTTAAGGCTAAATGCTCAAAGCACATTTCACAATTCCAGTGGGCACTTGCAAGGCAGCTGATGTTATCAATGCTGACCCTTTCCTGCTGGCTGGCTGCTGGCATTGCTTATTTGTGCTTCTGTTCACAGGGTTTGGTTTGACTGCTGTGGAGTGGATTGTGCACTTAAATGTGGTGCTCCCCAGCTATACCAGGGCCTTGCCAGAAACCATCCATGACAACAGGCCACAGCCACATCAGCCCAGGAGATCACCTGCTCTAGTGAGTTTTCCTCTCAGCTGCTGAAGGTAGTTCTATGTAATTATCCATATCCATGCTCTGGTAAAACAGAGTTAGTTATATAATTGATGAGTGGGAATGATGCCCTGCTGTTGGGTCAAAGAAAAGTGATGGCTTTAACTTTTCTATCACATGCACCTCTCTGTCCCAATAGGACAAATTTATTTACAGTTTTATAGGCCAATTATTCAATTTTATAAGAATATGTAAGAATTATATATAACATTCAGCATGCCATTAATGTTCTGTCCTAACATGGCAGTTTTAGCAAGATTTCTTTCACATCTCTGCTTGGCTAACCTCACAGCTCACAACTTCCCAAGCAGCAGCACATTGGTGCTGTCAGCAGCAGAACATACTGACCTTTGCCTGCCACACCTCTGACTCTGTGTGCTTGACATTTAGGCAGTGGTAAAGTAGAGATCCTACATATATTGAATAAGTAATATTTTGCCTCTTACCTGAGGCTGTCATAACAGCTGATGTAAGTGTCGAATTTCTGAAGTCTATAACAAATCAAAGCAAACATTCAGCATGAGAAAGGTCTTTATTCTGCTTTAGGAAAGTGGGTGATTGAAAGGTTCAGGAGCAAGAAAGTGTATCACACCTAAATTCCAAACAATCTTTCCATGCCCAACTCAGCCAAGTAGTCCAGAAAGAAACATGAAATACCTGAAGTAACTGTGCTGAGAAATCCCTGGAGAAACAAAGGTTTTGGGGGAAAAACTTTGGAGCCCCTAGCACCTCAGCTTAAAAACCAGAAATTAATCACATGTGTTTATTCCATAAAAAGAGGTGCACTGTATTAGCACAGATGCTGAAACAACATTTTTGACCTGGTGGTGGTACCTGAACAGTTTCATCCGTGAGGCACTTCAGAGGCTGCAACTCTGAGAGGAAATTTCAGGGACACTCTGCACTGAAAAGTGCTCACTGAGTCCTCAGAGAAGAGGAGGGAGAATTATTCCTTCTGATTAAAAACTGTTAGCCACACAGGCAAGCTCAGCAGAGACACCATCCTGCCCAAGCAGCATATATGTCCTAGATGTCTGTTTTCTTTCCTATTTTTTCCCAGCAGGAGAGGTGAAGTACTTCCTGAGTAGGCCAGGAGGATGGATAATGTCCCCCCAAAAAGGTATGTGAAGGAAGTGACCTATTAAAGTTCACACACTTCATTAGAAAAATATATCTGGGAAGGCAGCCAGAAAATACCTCTGTCTGGTCAGGCATGTGTGGAGGGCATTGGGTGGTGTTGCAAAGGTGGGACTGCAGACTGGATCTTAGCATAGGCAGGTGACCATCCACTCTCCATCAGTACCTCCTGTGACTGCTGCTCTTTCATTTGCATTTCAGCTGAGCCTTGACTGCACTAACAGGGATTTCACAGTAGCTGGCTGACATAAAGGATTCCTTACCAAAGATGCAACAGGCCTAAAAACCAGAGCAGTGAGAGTGTTTGAGATGTGCCTGGTTCCCAGAGGGTTCTGCAGAGCATACAAGGCAAAGAAGGGTGGTGGCCTGATGCGAGCTGCTAGGCTTCCTTTGACAGCTCACCTTGCAGAGGCCAGCAGAGGAAAAAGTTTCCCTCTCTCAGGGTCCCCGAGTATCTGGGACGGTTTTCTGGCACCCAGTGGGGTATTGGCTGAGCCCCCAGGGCCTACTACAACCAGCACTTGCCAAAGTCTTTCACAAAACCCGTATTTTTTTCTTGCCATCTACTTACAGCATTTCTCTGGCAAACTCATGTAACCCCCTGCTATATGCTGACTCCCATGCAGAGCAGAGCAAAGCAAACTGCTCCAGGAGAGATGTTTCCAAAGGGCTTCACCTGAGGTGTGAACTGAACATTTATGTGTCTGCAATAAGATGATAATAAGACAAACTTGCAGGGGAAGAGTAAGGATTTATGAAATTTACACAAATTAAGAAACATTATGTCAGTTCTTTAACATGGCAAAAATGTTGAGGATCTTGGCTCTGTGCTTAAACAGAAGGTAGAGCCATTAGGAGGGCTGTTATTTTTACTTATTAGTTGAGTACTGAAAGAGCTATATTCGAAGGCCAGCTGAAGCATCAGAAATAACATTAAGTACCTCTCAAGGCTGGAGTTTATTACTCTTGGTCTTAATTATAACAGATTACATCACCAGAATATTGGTTTGTAGTATTTTCTCTGAAGTCAAAGCTGCAGAAAGGGGTTCCTTACTACCCATTTAGAGTAGTAAATGCTACAACAGCTTTAGGACTTTATAAACAGACCTCAAACACAACCCAAGTTATTTTATTCTCTAATTTATCCTACCATCTGAAACCGTGGTAGTAAAAACTTCAGCTAAAGCTTCATTAGACTTATTGCCTGTGACAGGAGAAAAAAGAGAAAGATTAAAGCAGTTCTTAAAAGTAGTTATAAGGGCTGAAAATTTAGTTTGGGCTTGTTTCATATTGTGCACCTTCACAGAAGGCATAGCTGAGAATGAAAGTAATACTTTCTTTTCTATCACATCTAAATACTTTAACATTTTTATACAGAGTGGATCTATCTTAGCATTAGCATAGCCTCCTGGCAAGAACACAGCTTTAACTGACAGCTCTTCGATAGGAATACATTTCTAGAAAACTAAAAATTGGAAGAAATGAGTAATTTTTGAGAAAAATTTATGATTTATCTCTCTCTTCTCTGAAGCTGTGTTTACAGAGGAATAAGCTGTGGCTTTTGCTACAGTCTTACTTTGTGGAAAAACATATCAATAGGAATATACACAGCCACAAGAGAACCCAGCTGAGCTGAAATAGTTGCCCTGAGAGGTGACATGCCCCTAGATGCTGCTAAGGGGTCAGCAGCTCAGCTGTATTGTCTGTGCAGCAGGGAGCACATATAATAAAAAAAAATAAATAAGGTATAAATATGCATTTGCACGTAAGAGGAGACATGCACAAGAGGGTGCTAAAGGAAATCTGTCCGCCCTTCTCACCAGTCACCCTGCATCCTCACAGGTGCTAAAAATTGTGCCACCAAGAATCCTGCTTTTACCAAAGAAATGGGACAGTATTTCTCCCCACTTCCCTAATCATGTAGCTAATTCTTACAGTACAGATTATAAGGAGTTTCTTCACTGTCCACAGAGGTGCAGCCTTTTGCATGTTTTACTGAAGGTCTGTAAGATAGCCCTGAATCTGAGGATTTAATTTCCCAGAGAGCCATGAGTGGTCCATGAGAAACACCTAATTATAATAGCTCACTAGTGCCATGTGGCTATATTAGAGTATTTTTGGGTATGGGAAGTACAGCAAGATTCTGCCTAAACAAACAAATGTCTTCTGTTTGTGCAGAAGTTTCTTAGCTCATTCAGAGGCTTGAGCAAATATTTGAGCCAAAAAACCTGCCAGAGAGTCCAAACTGCATGATGAACTTGTACAATAAAGCTTTTATACTGTTGGCATTTCTTCAGTATTTTAAATAGCAAGCGAATACATGTGTTTGGTGTTCTTAACATTTTAGTTGTGTCCTATCGAAGAAAAACGTACGAAAGGAAACAAATATTTCTTTTGATGAAATAATCTTCATATCATTTCCCAGGAAGGGAAACAGACACACGCATGAGAATGTCTTATGTGTCTTATGGGTCCCTTCGAACATCAGTGTCAATCTCAACTCATAGAAATCTTCAGTGTCCTGCAAGTCTTCTTGTACCACAGAAATTTCTTGGGGAGAGAAAAAAAAAAAAAAAAAGAAAGTACCCTCTTGTTACACTCCAAACTCTAAGTCAGAGCTGTGCAAAATATTCGTACTGGAAAGCAGGATCATATAGCCACAGGTTTCTTTGCTGAGACACTGTCAAATATTTGGCAAGAATGGTGTGGTCATGCCAAACCGTAGTTCCTATCCCTGGCAGGGGACTCTGGTCACAGCCTTTTGTCAGATGTTTCCTTTGAGAGCTGTTTCCTTTGTGCTCTCCCCTTCAAACACATAGACACCCACAGGCTCCCTGGTGTTATGAACAAAAATTCGGTTAATATTTTTTTTGTGAGAAAAAGTTACAAAAAGGCAGCCAGATCTCTGTCCCTGCCAAGGTTCTGCGTGTTTTGTTATTGTAATCACGGGTCGTTGTAGCTTATCGCTCCTTTTATATTAGTAAAAGCCCTGGCTAGGGCGAGGTAATGGCCCTTCCCCGAGGCTAAGTTGTACCTTTCCCAGAATAGTGAAGACACCTGAGAGGGTGGTGGGGGGGGGGTTATGCAAAGTGACTCCAGGACCAGCATGCTTTTTGGGACCCCGACTCCAAATGCAGAGAGAAAACCCCAAAAACAACGAGCCAAATAAGAGTTGAGAGACTGGAGTGATGTCTGGACGAGAGGAGCCGAGTGCTGAGCCTGCAGAGACACTGGAAACTTTCGTTGTTCCTCACCCTGTGTTCGAGAGCCCCCGGGCCAGGTCTCAAAGACTGAGACGAAAGGAAAATCTGACGGGGACACCACGCCCTAAAGGCTCCCACGAGGGCTGGATCCCCCGGCTCTGCCCCTGGTGGACAGAGCTGCGCATATCCTCCTCCTCTGAGTCGCCCTGGGAGACGCGACGGGGACTGCAGCCCTGCCGGGCTGCCCAATCCTGAGCTGATCACTTTTAATAAAGGCATTAAAAAGGAGAAGAAGTCTCCTGGCCCTGTTTATTTCACCTGGGGCAGAAGTGGGCAAGAGTCATAGCTTTCCCTGGGAACCACTCCTGTAGCTGTGCTGTTTGTCTGTGGATAGGTTGCTTTACCTCCAGGCTGTTCTGTCACGTTTGCTCTGTCCATGTACTGCAGGAGGCTTGACTTGGGAAATGCCTTCCTCATGACACAGCTCACATTAGGCTGTGGGGCAGCACAAGGCAGTTGTTAGGTTAAATACACACACACACACACACACACACACACACACACACACACACACACACACACACACACGTAGGTATGTTAGGTGAGCCTCTGACATTTCCCTCCTGGCTGCCAGCTTCCAAATGCCTGCATGGACAGTGCTCTGGAAGGAAGCACTTGCTTTCTCTTTATTGTGTTTCTTGCCCACTTCCCTCATTTTTCTGATTGCAGACAGGCATTGTTGAATGAGAGCCTAGGGACAACACTGTTGCCCTGAGTGTCAGGACTCCAGCCCCCTCCAGTCCTATTCTGTGGCTGGAGAGATATAGAGTGACCCCCACCCTCCTGCTCCCAGTGACAATCACTCACATGGAAAAACAATGGAACTAGTAATGGGTGCAGTGTGTGTGATGAGAATAAGACACTTTCTCATTGTCATGAAAATCCTCTCTTCATTTGGCAGATAAAGAAAGAGACAATTCCCATGAAAAAGATTGCCTAGCCTGATATGTTGAATATAAAAAAGTGGATACCTTTGTGGCAGACAGACTATGTATGACATTTCCAGAAATCACAAGGGATTGGATACTTCAGATGCAGTAGTCCTGGTTCTATGCCAATTGTTCCAAAGATCAGCATTTGTGCTCTGTTTAATTTCTCAGCAAACAATAGATGGGCATGACCTCAAAGTCAAGGCTAGATGAAGGCTTGGGCACTAGCAGGGTGAGAGGTCTCATCCTCATGCTGCCTGGAGATTCCCAAGTATATTTATTTAGCAGGTTATGACACTGTTAAGTACTAAACACTGTTATAAGAGAAATGGCCTTGTTCTTTTCAACAGAAGAAAAGAGCATGTGTTACTCATGCAGCACAAACCTCTCTTGTTCCCTCATTCAAAGAAAGTGGTTCCCACATTAAGTTGGAAGCAAGCTTGATGCAGTGAAGCCAGCAGAAGTCAATCATTCAGTACAAAGACTGAAACAATCCAGCTGAAACTCTTTCCCTGCCACCGTAAACTGCACCTGAGCTTGTAGTGTAATGGCTTTCTCCTATTTTCCTCTTCATTATTCCCTTATTTTTCAGGCACTTTTAGGTCATAATATTTTTTCAATTTTTCCTATGAATAAATAGAATTTTGATATCCTCACTAGATTTACGCCCTGCAAAAAAGGCAGAAAAGAGAAGTAAAGAAGTCAGTGTTTGTTGGAGGTGAAGAACAGACAGAGGGTCTTGGGGGAGTTTCTCTTGCCCAGTCTTGTGATAGCAGGCACCCCTTGCTCTCTTCAACAGGACAGTGCAGACAAAAGCCTACTATGTCCAACACCACACCCAGAAATAGGTCACCAGGAAAATTATACCAGTTTTCAGAATCAACTGATACATGGATTGTGTGAAGTGAGTGGTTATGTATAGTACAAGGTTCTGCCTGCCCATGAGCTCTGTTTCCAAGGAAAACCTTCTTGATTTGAGATACTTGCCAATCAAAAGTTTTAACTTGGAGGGATGGAACAGGAAGCAAAGCACCATAGCTAATAGCCAGAGAGGCTTACTAGTCAGTCATATGAGCCATAAATATGTTTTACACCAAGCATGGCCATGCAATTCAGTAGGCTTTTAGGTTTTGCCATTACCAAAACTGAAACAGAGGCCCACACCACAGAGAAGTCAAGTCCTTAGAAGTCCCTGGTTTGTGCTCACTGCTGTGGGGCGGCAGTTGCTCCGAGGAAAGGGCGTGAGCACCTTGTGTTAACTCAATGCCTTCCCTGCTGCCCTGTGAGCTCAGTCAGTTTGGTGGATGCCTCCTATGCCTGATTCAGCTCAGCTTGCCTGGCCTTGCTCGGGTGGCATGGTGGCAGTCACAGGCATCACTCTTTGTCCAAAATTGCTCACCTTCTGCGAGGTGCTGGCTGAGCTCTCCTCCAAGCTAATGAAGATCTCAGGGTAAGCTGGAAAGCAAACATAAATGTATTAGTGAAATGGACACTGCAAATAACAATAACAGCTTCTAATAACACTTAACAGTGTTGTATCATAAGAAGGGTGGGAATTAAATCCTACCTCCAGCCACACATCAAGCAAGATAAAAGTGTTACAACTGCAATTTGAGATCAAGGAAGTGGTTTACAAGATTGTATTAGCAACTATTGCCACAGGATCCGGGATGCATTTCACTGCCTACCTCAACTAGGCTTGGGTGGCTTTGCTGGGGAAACAAACTGAAACCATCCTGCAGTCACAGCTCTGGCAGTAGAGCCGCCCTTACTGGGCCCCATGAAATTACATATACCCCAGTTCCTGGTTCCTCTGTGTGCTTGCCAAAGGTATCTCTAAAGGCTTTAGCCATTCCCCAAATGTTTGATTTTGGATGCCAGCTATCCAGATGCTGTTGCCTGGACAGATGTGTGACAGTGTCCCCACAGATGCTTCCTGCCTAGCCAGGAAGCCCAGAGGAAGCCTCACAGCAGAGCAGCAGGGCACTGACAACCACATCCACATGAAATAAAAAACTGTTTTTTTCTGGTTTTGCAGCATTTTGGTTCTGGGCACAGCTGATTGTTTATATATATATATATATATATATATATATATATATATATATATATATATATATTGTTTGTGTATACTGTGTATATTGATTGTATATATACAGCCGGAGAGCTATCAGGTACCCTAAGCCTCCCTATACTACATTCCCAAATTATTCATTGGGATGTCTGGTTTGGAACAATATTGACTGACTTGTTAAGTAAGGACTGTTGAAACTGTGTTAGTGTATAACAAATTTCAGAAGCCTCAGTAAATTGGGCTTCTGGCCCTGAGATTGGACTGGATTACTTAGGAAGTCCCAAATTCTTTATCTTTCCAACCTAAACCTCGCTTTAATCTCTACCATTAAAATAATTTTCTCTTTTTCTTACCCTGTTAATTGGTATAGAACCACCTCAGTTAATTACAATCCCCCCTGAGGTGAACTATCCAGGTTTCCCTGTTTTATACAGCTAGTCCACCAAGGACCCTTCTGACTTTATTTTTAATTTCCATTTTTCTGCCTGATGTTACTGATGGACTCTGCCTGGGCATGACTTACATTTAGTTGTCATGGCCTTATGATTTTCTGCACTTACAGTGCAGTGCAAGTGGAATTTCTTGGTTTTTTTTAAATCTCTTCTGGGTTTTGAGTTTTTCTGCTTTTTTGGAGGGTGGGGTGGGGCAGGGGTTTTAGATTCTTCCTATCAGGAAATGAGTGTCCTAAGATTTCATTCTTTCTTCTTTGCCAAAACTGTACAGATGGTAGTGGAGCTGGCAGAAGACAGACAGACTTTTTCAGATACAGGGAAAAGTCTTGTAAACTGGATCTTCTAATCGCTGCCGAAGTTGCCCGGGAGGCTAAATGATGTCTGGTCTAGTGTGTGCTCTTCCTTTTGGTTTTTTTCATGAGAATAGGTATGCTTTGCCATACCTGTATTGAGCACTATCCTCTGCTTTCTCAGATGTGTTTATGGGGTAGCTGTTCTGGCAGGGAGCTCTCACACATAGCTCTGAATGGTCTAATAGATCTTCTCCAATTAACATCTCAGCCCCTGTTAACACTTTGACATTCATTTGTCTTGCTAGGATATTTACCAATGTTTTGGATCTAGGAGAAATTCAATATTTAGTTCAGTAGTTTCTGCTGCTGAACTTTTACAAAAAGGAGAAATCAATATTTGTCAAAGTTACACATGAAAAGACCATACCTTCTCACAGCAACTTGTATCTAAAAGAACTCTATTCTAGAAGAGAAATATTTTAAAATATTTTGATCCAAAAGCACCCTCTTATAAAAAGCTATCTTGATTGAATGATTGTTTTTTACCAACAAACCAAGACTCTCAACTTCCTTGAGAGATCTTTTCATACCTTCTCCATCCTCTCCAGTCCAATTCTCAGCCCCATTGGGTCACCTCAAGCAGCTGTGAGGGAAAACTATTTGGCACTCCTCAGACTTGGCCTGCCTCTGCTGTGTTTAGCTCTGTCTGAAGTATTTTTCAGAGGGATCCTGCATGAGGAGTTTCCCACAGGCACCCTCTCCTCCTCCTGTCCCTTTCAGCTCTGTCTGAAGTATTTTTCAGAGGGATCCTGCATGAGGAGTTTCCCACAGGCACCTTCTCCTCCTCCTGTCCCTTTCAGCTCTGTGCTGCAATAGCTGCCTGCCCTTCCTGCCCTATTTTTAAGCCACCCAGCCTGAGGGATTCAATTGCATGAGTATTCAGGTGACAGGGGAGATGCTGACTTGCCGAGATGGGAAAACCTCCCCAGGTTTCCACTGGCCTTTTTCCCTAGCTGTCCCCTTGCTAATGGCCATAATGACAGATATAACCAACATAAGGTGCTGTTGACTTTGTATGCATATACTATCTTTAGTTTCTGTCCCACCCATTTGAGGCTGGATCTAACTGCCAGAACACAAATATTAATTTCTTTACTTTCTAGTCAGCACAAGGAACGAGAGAGGTGCTGCCATCTGAAAGGGCTCTTTGTCCCCAAATGTCACCTAGGGAATGCTGGATTATCCTGGGCAGTGTCTCTGCCAGTGCTGTGCAGGGATGTGGGCTGGCTCAGGGCACAAGAGAGTACATGGAGAAAAGCTGGGATGGTGCAATCATAAGTGGTACAACTTCAGCAAATGGTAACAGGAAAGAGTGAGACAAGATGCAAAATAGTTATTTCACTTGCAAAATTCAGATGCGAAAGGGTTAGGAGCACAAAAGCACACTTCCTCCGAGTGGTGGACTTTACTCTGCTGAGATCTGAGAGACTTTCCTCAGCACCCACTGCAAACCTCAAGGCTCTCAGGGAGCCAGTTCTGCCCTTGGGACCCCTCCGAGAGAGGCTGGTGGCACAGCACCCTGGTCCTAAGCCAGCCAGCACTTACTGGGAAATGCAGACCACCAAGGGTCGCAGTTTTCTCTAGTTTGCCCCTCTACACTGCTGTACTGGTATTTTGATGTGTGGTCATGCACAGCTGAGCACATATTTCTCAGTAATACAGAGAAAAAGGTAAATAAAGCAACCTCTTAGTAAGAGACACACAAATCTAGGCAAGAGCATCAGACGCGATGGAAGAGAGAGAGTTCAAGTATATTAGTGTCCTTGAATGATTACCCAGGTAACACTGTTGCTATATAAGAAATGTTGATTTTAAAAAGCGTCTGAATCATGCAAACGAAAGAGGAGGTTTCAGATCATTAACTTCTATTTTTATTCCTTTTACATCAGTGACCAACAACCTTCAGATACATTTGCTTTTTTCAGCTGCTCCCTGTTGAACTTTCCTTTGACTTCAGAGCATCAGCCTTAAATGACCATGCCATCCTCAAGCTGTGGACTTCCTCGGACAATCAGCTACAGTCAAGGGACTGTTGACAGGCCCAGTGTTTAATACTCATTTACTTTCAAAGCTTTGGAAATATGTTTTCCTGACCAAATGATCTCTAAAGAGAAAATAAAGCCTGGTTTTCAAGTCGGTAGCAATTTTCTGATTCAGTTGTACCTTATAGTAGAGTGGTTCCTGATAGTAGAGTGGTTCCTAAGCAATTTGAAATGGGACAGGGCAAGTAACTAAAGATGGGGAAGGCTTACAAAAAATGAAATGCCAGCCCACGTGTCTGCAGTACACAGGCTCTGCCACTCCTGGCCAATTTGAGACCCCCCCACCAGGATCCTCATTTCCAGACACTCATTTCCTCATTTTGGCAGCAGTTGAATGTCACATGCATTTGAGGATGTGATTTTGCTACAACTGTAGTTCCAAACTGCTTACTAAATTACAGCTATGATTTCCTGACCACAGACAGCATGGTCATTGGGACACGGAGATCTTGATGACCAGTGTGCTTCCCTATAACACACAGAATCCCAACATAAGCCTACATATCAAGGTAAGAGTCTTGCCATGTGCATGACAGTGAGATTGATATATATGCAATGAACCTACTATTTTTTCTTGCCAGAAATTGAAGGAAGGGACTCAAATTCTTCTAAGAATCGAGTAAACTCCACCATTTGCTAACTTTTTATGTCATTGCAGCTGAAAAAAATGACCAGGCGAATATGTTTACATTTAAAAAACCAGAGTGTCTGTCAAAAGTTATTGGCTTCAGAACCAGGCAGGAGTGTCACCTTTCCAAGTGCAAGGCAGCAGGCAGTTGGCATAAGCCCCTTACCAAATACCCTCACAATGGTGCTGCTCTTCTGGACTCTGTCTGGGTGGTACAGCACATGGCAGGAAAAGACTGCCATCATAAGTGATTTTGGTGGGGAAAACCTTTAGGGTGTTGTTCAAACTCAGGAGGACTTTTTGCCCGTACAGCATGCTGCTGTTCCTGTACACAGCAGGACAGGAGGGCTCCTTGGTCACAAGTTCCTCTTCCCACCCATCTTCATCCTGTGTACAGAAAAACCAACAAAATTGTGAAGTTCAGACACACACAGTGAAATGTTTTTGTAAGCCAGCTCTATTCCCACTATGAAAAGCTTCCCTTGCACATTGTAGCAGTAAGGGGACATTTGCAACATCTGGTGTTTTTTTTCCAAATATATTCTCTCAGAACTTCAATACCAAGAGCAGTCATCATCTTGACAATAAAATATGGAGTAAATAGCTGTGTCTTGTGAGTTCTGCTCTCTGTAGCCTGCAGAGAGAGCAACAGAGGTTTTCTCACTGCACCAGTCTTTAAGTTATGCTGAACATCCCAGACATGTTAAATGTGACTGAAATTTCAAGGAAAACTTTGCTGTTTTAGAATTTTAAGTAGAAAACCTTGATAATAATAACTAAAATTTATCTCTCTAATTGTCTGTGTGGCAGCCAGGTTATAAGTACAGCCAGCGTGTCCTGGACATCTGTGCCTCAGTACATATTTGCAAGCTTTACTCTGTACGATGCGTGGCAACCCACATATAT